TTACAAATTTAAAACTTCAAGAACCACACAGACCTTGTCTCTGACCCCCCACAAGGTATTCACTGACTACATCTAAGCAGCTCAAGGCTAACTCAGGCTGGAAGCATCCTAGTGCTTCACACTAAGGTGCAGGCTGACCACTGTCCTCTGCCTATGGCCCTGATTTGAGATCACCAGCAATTTCACTACAACTAGATTTCCAATCCTACTGAGAGGTATCACACAGCATCAAAACTTCAATCTGAGTGATTTTGCCCACATTCGACTTTATATTTCACACTTCAGTTAACTTTACCCTCACACGATCATCAAGTTTATAAGAAAGAAGTATAGAAAATACACTGAAAGATGTTACCAATGTACTCAATGGAGAAATGGTTATAGAATCAGGCATATGCACACATGCATGTGCCCAGCCAGGCTCTGCCAAATTCTGAGATACAGCCGAGACACAGCCCACTGACAAGTCCCCTTCCTGGCAGAACTTAGGAAAGTTCTACAACATGCAATGTTCAGAGCCTGCAACTTGTAAAAGCACAATTTTCCACCTTTCTTATACAATGCAGCAAAAGAAATTAAAACCAGAGATAAAAAATAAAGTCCAAAGACATGAGCTACACCTCTGTTTTCTGAGAACCGTAAGTACCATCTTGCTTCAACTATCAATGTTGATCAATTTCATAATCGTTACAACCCGAACACATCTCCCATTCAGCTTCCTGACAAAATGAGCCGGGACTCTGTCCAATCAAATGCACAGAATTTGCTCACTGATCCCTCATACATCCGAGACCTCAACCTTTACAGGTTTTCAGGACCATTCTCCCAAAGCTTTTAATAACTGTTCTACCAAGGCCGTGTGGACAAAATTATCTGAATTAAAAATCCACTTCCATGTTAGCTCTCCAGAGATAACGTGTTTCACACACAGAAAACAATATTTTTATGTTACTTAACAAATTCTGAGCTAAACTAAAAATATACATCATTAGCCAAGACACTTACTTACTGAATTGATTACACAAAGAGCCCTAATCTCTATCACAAAGATAACTGAGATCCTGAAAAGAAAATGAAGCAGACAGTTAAATTGGAATCTGAAGGGTACAGAAGACTTGAGGGAAAGGGAAGAGCTTGCTGGTGGTGGAGTGCACGGTTAGGATAGGGAGAGGCACGCTGGGGAGGGACCAAGGAGCCCGGTCAGCTGCCCCACAGGTAACCTAGGGAAGGTCAGGCTGCAGCCCAGAGAAGTAAGCAGCTGTGGCTGTGAATGCAAACTGCGTGGTCCCCAGAGACAGACAGCATCTTCATGACTCATGGATCCTGCATTCGAGAACTTACCAACCTGGTCAAATGGATTTGTAACCCCAAATCCATACTTACAACACTTCACAGACACCCACAGACAAGCTGAAGTGATGAGCCAGCGTCTCAGGTGTCTACGCACCCAGCTGGGGTAATACTCTGCTCACATACTGGGAACAGGGGTCCTTCCCAGGCTATCTGCTGCCACGTTTTCCACAGGTATGTGTTTTTAGTAGTGGTTTTATCATTCTACAGGACTCCAAGTGTACTGTAAAGTGCTGTCTAGAGTCCCTAAGCACAAGACGGCAAGGGGTGACAACCTGATGGTAGATAGGCCTGCTTCACCTACAACTTGTATTGTTAGCCATGAGTTCAACGTCAATGAATCAACAACACAGACTGGAATTAAACAGAGGCACACATCAAATATGGCTCTGTAATGAGCTGAAAAGTGTTCTCACCAGAGACTCATAGAACCCTAACCTCCTATTTTCCTAAAGGCAATCTTTAGTATTCGCTAATTCGTTGTTTGCTGTGATTTTTAGAACATTACCATAAACGGAGAAAATCAACCACTGACACTCCTCGGTTAATGATCAAGTCCTGTAAGCTGTTCACTGAGTCACTAAATGAGGAACTGTAAATAATATGTTCATTACAATATACATAAGAAATGATGACAGGAAACCCAACATAATGATTTTTCTTTTATCTGCTTAACTTTTACATGCATTACTTTAATGTATAACAGAAAATTACAGTACTGTACAAAAGAGTAAAATTAGCAAAAATTACAGTACTGCATAAACAAGGTGTACTGTACAAAAAAAGGACATGCTCTATCAACAAAATGTATAGATCTGTACAAAAAAACAAACCAAACACCCCGATAGGTTGTAAGGGTGTGTGGCGGGTCATTAGTCTGGACCAGGGGCATCAGGTGTCAGTCTGAATGATCATTAAATAAGAGTCATTAAGTGAGGAGCACCCACATAAATTCATAAACTGAACAAGGATTTGGAAAACGCTACAGCAACTGGATATTGCTATGATACGCAAGCATGTGGTTATGTTTCTTGGGCATCTTCCTTTGTTGATTTTAAAAACACCTGCCCATGACAAACTGGAAATTTAAAAAACAAAACAAAACAAAACAACTCTTCTTTTGTAGTTTAAGAAGCAATGTCCAAATGACACACTGCAGAGAGCAGACAGGCAGACAGGAGGTACACATAGGACTTAGTACTGACATAAACAAATGAGGCAGACAGAACTAAGTGATGGCAGAAGACATGGGTGAGTTAAACCACCAGACGTGAAAGCAAAGGGGAAAGCAAGCAAGCACTGATGGGTGTCATTCTCACAGACAGGTGCTTTGGGAAATTAAGTTATGAATCCAGTTTTACAAATATTGAGTTTCAGATGTCTATGAAACAACTAAGCAAAAAAAGTCCATTGATGTCAAGATCATTTCCACCAATTCTGATTTTTCCACAAGGTCTGATCGTGGTCAGATCACAGAGGATGAGAGGAGGAACCCTCAACGTAACAGTCCTCTGCTGGTAGATCAGTACAATGCAAATGGCATTTCCAAGTATGTTTCCTCTCCTGAAACTGAAGTGCCTCAGCTTTCTGAGGGCTCCTAAAGGAAATTCAAGCTGCTTTTCTGGAGCAAGCTCCAACTCACTGTAAACCCCATACTTCTCAAAGGCTAGAAGGCCTATCTGGCAACAGAGATAGCACTAACACTTTGTAGGATCAGAATGGAAATCATCATCAATTCTAATATTTACGAATGGCTGCTGTGTGCCACACATTAAATGATTTACACATATGAGCTCAGTTAATCTTCACAAAGATCCTATGGTAGACATTATAACCGCATTTTACAGGTGAGGAAACTAGAACAGATATAAAGACTGCACATACTACAACCAAATGGCAGCAAATGCTTCAAACTATAGATTTTCATTTTCTAAATAGTTTTTTCTAGTCATCTAATATATTCCTGGTTCTCTTGACCATATCACAGTAATAATCAAGAGCACAGGCTCAAGAGCCAAATTACAACAACGGTCATGTCATTTATCAGCTTAATCATCATCTTATTATGTACTGAAGTGAGCAAGCTGCAAACTTCTCTGGTTCCCAGTTTCTTATAAACTGAAGACAATAGTTTTCTGTATCACAAGATTGTTGTCAGAATTAATTGAATATACAAATAATTTAGTACCTGAACAAAATCAAGCTCAAAAAAAATCAAGCTCAAAAACTATCTAATTTGCCCAAATTTGTACAATATGCCCAAAATTTATGGTGCCATGAGTGTGAAATTGGTGGTTTTGGTTTATAAAACTGAATGCTTTTTTGAAAAAGATTCCAAGTGAGATCCCTTTCTGTCTTCATCATTCTGTCCAGCAGCGGTTCCAGCATGAATTTTACAACTGCTTAATGGTTCGAGTCCTGTCTGACAGCGACTAAACAGCCAGCAACAATATTTACAAATGTCTGTCACTCACTGGTTTTAAAATTCTCAATAGCTCTCTGACGCTTACAGAGATTCTGATCTCCTGCATGACAAACTGCCTTTAATTTCTAGCCTGATTCACTTCTAGTCACCTCTCTGAAAAGCTAAGGCCACACCACATAATTCAGTGGGTCCAATACATAATACTAAAAGACCATAGTCCACTGTATCTGCTTCTATTTAGTTCTGGGAAGACTACCCCTTCCATTCCTGGGCCCAGAAAACTATTAGTCCTTCAAAGCTTGGATGAAATGCTGCACTGTTCATTTATCCAACGTGGAAATTTACTGAGTATCAAAATGTGCACATAAAATCATGTGAAAACAAAGATTAACAACGACACAGTGCAACAACATTTAGAAAATAGATCTGTAAAGAGATACAGGATAAAATGTAATACTAATTGGAGCTCCAGTGGTGCAATCGGTTAGTGCGAGTGGCATGCAGGAGACAAGAGGGTGATACCCAGGCAGAGTTCCATACAACACAGACTTGTCTCTAAACATACCATTTCTTAATTGGTCCAAGATGTCAAGACTATTTTTCTTGTTTTATTTTGTTTTGCAGTACTGGGGATTGAACCCAAGGTGTCCGTAATGAACTGTAAACCAAGCCTTTATTTTTTTAAGACACGGTCTCCTCAAGTTGTCCTGGCTACACTTGCCATCCTCCTGCCTCTGCCTCCCAAAATGCTGGGATTACAGGCACGTGTCACCACGCTGAACAACTATCTTTTAACAATATTCAGGATAATGAGTTGTGGCCTTGTGTTTAATACTTACCCTCCCTATGGCAGGAATTTATGCATCCTTTTGTAACCTCAACACTTAGAAATTATTATAACAAAAGTCACAATTGTTCACTGAACAGAACTGGATAAACAGATTTTCATATTATAAACTGGAAATCTCTTTAACTCATGGTGGAACTGATCCATAGCTGCAAGTGTACCGTATACCCCAATCAGTATTTATAACAACGACTGAAAAGTAACAATGCGGTAGCTCTCGCCTGGGATGACACAGCCCTGCTCCAGTCCCCAGAGCTCCTCTCGGAGCGCGGTCGCCGTCGCCGGTGGGCTGAGAACCCAGGAGCAAACGCGCTCGCATCCCCACTCCCGCGAGCTACTCCCGCGAGCTACTTCCGCAGCACAGCCCTAGTGTGTTACCTCCGCTGTCCGAAGCCGCTTGGACCTCGTCGTCCGACTCGGAGGCCACAGCCTTGGCCACTATTTTCATCTTCTTTTTTTTTTTCAGGGACTTTTTCAGCTTTTTCCCCGTAGTCGCACGTGAGTCTTGCACGGTCGCGGCCATCTTGTCTGGCCGGAAGTGTTCGTTAAGAATTGTGCTGATAGCAACGAAGGGAGCTTCCGCCTAGAGTTCCGGAGACCCAAGGTTCCGCTGAGCGATTTTCAAAATGTGGATAGAAAAGGGACGTCTGAATTCCCCGAGTCGTTGTGTGAAGTTGGTTCTAGCGTAAAAAAATGATTGACAAGAACTGTCTTGGCCAGCTCGGGGAAGTCGTGACCCACCGCCCCAGACCGGCCGCTTTCCTTTCTCGTCACATTGTTTCCTACGGGACTCCGGTGCGGGGCACAGCTGAAGAACAGGAAACGCTCTTGGGAGGACGGTGTTTCCGGCTGCGCCTAAGAAGCTAGGGTCTAGTGGTTCCCTTTGCCCCTAAAATACTGATTCCCTGAAGATCGGTACTGCATCCCTTTTCATGTTGTACCCCAATGGTAGCCATGCGACTTGAGCTGTAGAAGGAGCCCGAAAAATATTTTGAAATGAATGACTTTAAAAAATGCAACTGTCGACATGTTGGTGAATTGGACAAGAAAGCAAACGTTTTTGTATTTTGTAGGGCAAGCATGTTCAAATGGCTTTTCTTTAGCTTAGTAGAGCGATTCTTCGATTTTAACATCTAAAATTCCTGAGAGAAAAATCTTTATTTTGACATGTATATTGTTTGATGTCTGTATAGTATATAAGTATATAATTACATCTTTTAAGATAACATGTTAAAAACAAAAAGTGTGGGAAAACTAGTAAACGATACAACTAGTAAACGATCAGACTGAAAAGTGCAATGCTGGTCAGCATAAGAGATGCCTGTTGGTGATGTTCCTAGGAGATTGCCTGTATCCAGAGGTTCTCACCATTCTACTAGTGTGGTGCTTTCTCTATGCTGGTCTTGAATTTATTTCCTGCTGTCTTGTGTTTGCCTGTTTTTTTATAATAAGTTCTAAATAGACTTGACAAAGCATTGAAGAAATATAGCAAAGCAAAGAAAAAATAGGAAAAGCAAAAATAATACAGTAACGCAAAAAAAAAAATAACAAAGCAAATACAGAAAGCAAAGAAGGAAAGAAAACGTATTTCAGTGTACAGTGGAAAATATATCCCAACATATGAAACACGTTACTGCATTAATATGCAAATAGTATTTGGTAATCAGGAAATGATACGTTGTTCATTTAACATACTAATAAAATAGTTCATATTTTAGAATTATAATGTGTTTAGTCTCAGCTTAAAAAATGGCTACAGAGTGACACATGTGTTTGATGTTGCAGATGTGTTTGATGTGTTATGCATTCAAACTGTTCTTCAAATTAATATAACATAGATTCTAGGATTTTATTCCCAGAACTCTGATTTTCAGAAATGGATTACCACTGTTAAGGGAGATACGTGTTAATTTATTTAATCTTAATTGCGAGCTACGTATTATTGTTCAATCTTGGGCAGAGTAACTGCTCAAAGTCACACAGCCAGTAAGTGGCAGAATCACATTCAATCCTAAATCTCTGCTCTATTGTCTGCTCAGATTGTTGTTCTGTAGTACTGTGATACCTTGGTTGTTGAATGGCTCCAAGCTCAAACTTTCCAATACTTGAACAACAAACCTTGAAAAAAATTTGCTCAGTGTTCATAGATTTGATTATGAAATGAAAATTCAACTTGAAAGCACTTGTACGGCCCAAAATTGGGGCACAGAATGAGTTTCTCACTGTGGACACAAGGGGACAGCACTTTAGTTGTAAGTGCTGCTTTTACCCAGACAACAGACAGTGCTTGTATTAATGTTTTAAAACATTCATCATTGTGCTAGCAGTACAGCTAAGAGAATCACAGTACAGTTTAAGAAAGAAATTATGAAATTTGTTAAAGTCCTGGAAAAATGAATGTATAAGTGTAATTTTGGACCAATTGCTTGGTTCTTCATTATTTCTTATGGGAAAAATGTGTTGTTTTTTAACTTTTTGGTGTTTGAATGTGAATTTGGAATAAAATGATTTTTGACAAGCAGAGTATCACTTAAAATATATAATAAAAATAGGCAATGGAAACTTCTGGTAAACTTTGGGGTTTGTAAGTCAGGAACATTTTATTGCAAAATAATTGACAAGATTTTAACAGAATTTATACCACGTTATGTAAGTAACTGAAATCACCTATATGCTCATATGAGAATTTTATTTTAAAAATTCTGTGTTAACAGCTAGCACAGTAAACAGCTTCTCAGTTTCAAATTCACCCTTTTCAGCTGGTCTGCAAAAATGTAGCTGGGTTCTTCAATGTTTGTCTTTACCTATTAGCTGAATGTTAAATTTTGTCAGTAGAGGGCCTTAGACTGATATTACAAGAAGAAAAGGCCCTCTTCAGGTTTTAATGTGCTTCTCTGTAAACTCCAATGGAGACTTCTCCAGCCTGCAGCCCCTGAAGTGGACATGGATTTTCTAGCACCCGACTCCTGGAACTCAGGTGACTGACTCCTCCAGCATCTGGCTTCTACAGTGCACAGCAGTCAGCAGTAGCCAGGAGCTTCCTCGGCCACCTTCTCATGCAGTTTCTGCAGAGTGCTTTCTGCAGGACACTTTTCCTTCCACAGCTGTCCTCAGCACTGTCCTGTAGAAAGTGATCATTGATTCTAAAATTCACTTGCACCCTAAACAGAAAAACAACTTGGAAAAAGAACAGAATTGAAGAACTAAGTCTACCTGATTTTAAAAAAAAAATGTGTTAAAAGTCTATTTTATTCAAAATAATGCAGTGTCATGTCCAGGTAGACAAACAACAATTGAACAGAGTAGAGAGTCGTGAAATAAAGACAGACATGCGTAAGGAAAAAACTGACGATTCACAAAGATACAACATCAGTTCGGTGGAGAAAGGATAGGAATCCCAATAAATATTGCCGGAACAACTGGATATCTACATTTTTATTTTTTTATTTTAAAAAGGGCAAAAGTAAACATACCAAAACAGAACAAAGCAGATAGGAAGAAAACAATGTAAGCGACACAGATTTCAAAGAAAGACAACAGGAAATCTACAGTGGCTACCATAATGTCTCTTGTTTTCTTCTATATAGTTGTCTGTATCTTCACACACAATGAATTCATACAAAACAAAATAGTATTAAACTGATCAGAAAAGAGTAATAAAGGCCTTCAAAACCAGAGAATAGGAAAATTAAAAATGGCTGCCATAAAGTCTGTTGGTCTCTTCAAAATAGCTGCCCAGACTTTCATGTATGTTGAAATTAAACAATACAAAGCAGACTAAAACCACTCTGAACAAAGAATCGAAACATTACTGGATTTCACAGCATGACAAACTCCGTTGGAGTTTACAGAGAATCAGCAATGGACACCATAATGTCTCTTTTCCTTCAAAGTAGCTGTTCATTTCATTATTCATAATATAATAGTTTGTCATAAACTGTTTAGGAGAAGTTCTACATATGTATACTTATCCTTTCTGTATTAGAGGGAGAAACAAAACAAAACAAAACAGATTACTAGAAAAACAAGAAACAAAAAAGACAAATAACAATAGCAAAGAGCCCAAAACAATGATGATACAGGCCTTCAAAACACGATGGTAGAAACGGAACTAAGGTTGATATTTTACATAGTGATCTTCAAGAGTTCTTCAGGTCACCAGGCACAAACATGCAAAATTGTTCAAATCCTATGAATGTTAACTGTTTTGTTCCAAGAACTTATAGAATTTGTAGCACAATCATCTTAGCTATCCTAAGTGTGTTTATACAAATTTAGATCTTTTATTCTTTTCCCTTCCTTTTTCTTTTTCTTCTTTTCTCCAAAGTATTATTTTTTCCCTTTGAGCAGATTATTACCCTTTCACTATATTTACTGAAGATTTTGTACCTTATGTACTCTTAACATTTCTTATAACAGGGAGACAATACGATATTTACACATGTGAGTTTGATTTATTTCACTTATGAATATGGTTTAAAGTTGCACCCACTTGTAAATATCTCAATGTGGTCATTTTTATAGCTGAGCAGTACTCCATTGTTTAAAAATACTACATCTTTTATATCCATTCGTCAGTTGATGGACATTTAGGTTGTTTCAAAGATCTGGCTATTACAAGTTGTGCTGCTATAAACATGGGTGCACATATATCACCGTGGTGTGATGTTTTCAGTTCTTCTGGGAATATGTCCAGAAGTGGAACACCTGAGTCAAATGGGACTTCCAAAGCCAGGTTTTTGAGGAACCTCCAGACTGACCTCCACAGTGGTTGCACCAGTCTGCACTTCTACCGACAGTGCAGAAGAGTTCCTTTTTCCCCACAGCCTCTCCAGCATTTGTTGTTAGTAGTTTTATTTATCTTGGCCATTCTTTCCGGAATGAGATGGAATCTCAGTGTGGTTTTAATTTGCATTTCTCTAATGACCAACGATGCTCAACATTTTTTCATGTATTTATTTGCCACTTGTATTTCTTTATCTGAGAACTGTGTATTCATCTCAGATGCCCATTTTTGGATTTGGTCTCTGAATTTCAGGTGTCAAATTTTTAAAAATTCTTTATATGGTATAGACAGAAGTCCTTTGTCTGAGTTACAATTGACTAAGACTTTTTCAAAATTCATGGGTTTCCTTTTTACTCTGTTGGAGATTTCTTTTGACACGCAAAACTTTTTAATAAGATGTGATCCCAGTTATTGATTCTGGGAAGTATTTCCCATGAGGTTTGATTTTGTTCATAAATTCTCTACCTACACGTGTGTCTTCAAGATTTCTGGCTTCTTTGTCTTCCAGCAGGTTTAGTGTTTCTGTTTTAACATTTAGATCTTTGATCCATTTTGAATTTAGCCTAGTACACGGTGATAGGCGTGGGCATAGTTTTAGTTTTGGCATATGGAGAGCCAGTTTTTCCAGAACCATTTATTAAAGAGACTGTCATTCTTCCAGTGAACATGTTTGGCCCCTTTATTAAAGATAAGGTGGTTGAATGTGTTTGTAGTTGTGGTTGTATCTTCTAGTATATTCCTTGATCTTCAGTCTGTTTTTATTCCAGTACTA